CCCCCCCCCAGTGAGCTGAGTACCCATTTTATTGACCTCGGAAGGATAGAAGGCTGAGTTAAGTTTGAGCCGACTACCTGGGATTGAACCTCAGGTTGTGAGCATGGTTTTAGCTGCAGTGCAGCAGTTTAACCACTGCACCACAAGGCTCTCTCCTAGAGAGATGGAGGACTCTCTTGCAGGCCTCATTACGTTAAAACAGGGCATCTGTTGGCTTTACATTACATTACAGTATAATATATCATAATGGTGAAGATCTTGAGTGAAAGTCACATCTTGCTTCTACCACATGCTTACCACATGGCTTCAGCTCAATCCTGGCCTTCTAACTTTTTTTGGACTGCAAATCTACTTTTCCATTCTGGAAGTTCTACTGAACAGACACCTGACAGACACCTGAATTGGCTTCTCTGAGAGAAAAACTAACTCTGAGGCCTAGTTCAGCCTAGTTGTGTCTACGTTTCCTGTTCCTGCCCCAGTGCTAGTTAGGAGCTTCCTTTCCGAACATGAAGACAGAGGCAACTAAACCTCAAAGCCTTCCAGTTTATGCCTTACTCCCAGGTGAGTCATAATTTGGTATCTATTTTAAGGCAGAATTTCTGCAGTTAAAAACTAAAACTATTCAATTCCTGGAAAGAACACATTACCAGTGCTACTCCATGCCCTAATCTCCTGCCATAAGTTTCAGCCCAGTCAGAAGATTCTACTTTGTTTAAAGGTGACCATAACTCGTTACGTCATCAAGCTCATCAAATAGGTGTGAGTCTTAGCTATGCAGTTGGGCTTGTTTCCACAGCCAAGCTATTGTCTAAAGAAACTGTTCTGTTCCTACCAAGCCTAATTAACAGCTTAGCATTTTTATAGCATAATAAGCTGTTGTGAAACTATAATGGATGCAGACAGGAATACAAAGAAAGGGAAGAGAAGCACAGAAACCCCAGGTTTGTTGCAGTGAAAAATCCTTTATGTCCTTGCAGTACGACAAGGCTGTATATTGTCCCCCCAGCTTATTCAACTTATATGCAGAATGCATCATGCAAAAGGCTGGACTGGAGGAATCCCAAGCCGAAATTAAGATTGCCGGAAGAAATATCAACAACCTCCGAGATGCAGATGGCACCACTCTGATGGCAGAAAGTGAGGAGGAATTAAAGAACCTTGTAATGAGGGTGAAAGAGGAGACTGCAAAAAACGGTCTGAAACTCAACATCAAAAAAACTAAGATCATGGCCACTGGTCCCATCACCTCCTGGGAAATAGAAGGAGAAGATATGGAGGCAGGGACAGATTTCATTTTCCTGGGCTCCATGATCACTGCAGATGGAGACAGCAGCCACGAAATTAAAAGACGTCTGCTTCTTGGGAGGAAAGCGATGACAAATCTTGACAGCATCTTAAAAAGCAGAGACATTACCTTGCCAACAAAAGTCCGAATAGTCAAAGCTATGGTTTTTCCTGTTGTGATGTATGGAAGTGAGAGCTGGACCATAAAGAAAGCAGACCGCCGAAGAATTGATGCCTTTGAATTGTGGTGCTGGAGGAGACTCTTGAGAATCCCCTGGACTGCAAGGAGAACAAACCTATCAATTCTAAAGGAAATCAACCCTGAGTGCTCACTGGAAGGACAGATCCTGAAGCTGAGGCTCCAGTACTTTGGCCATCTAATGAGAAGAAAAGACTCCCTGGAAAAGACCCTGATGTTGGGAAAGTGTGATGGCAAGAGGAGAAGAGGACGACCGAGGATGAGATGGCTGGACAGTGTCTGCGAAGCAACCAACATGAATTTGACACAACTCCGGGTGGCAGTGGAAGATAGGAGGGCCTGGTGTGCTCTGGTCCATGGGGTCACGAAGAGTCGGACACGACTAAACGACTAAACAAACGAACAAGTGAAAAATCAAAGATGGGAACTCATTTTTTCCAGACTATGACTCCTAAACTGGCATAGGCAGAAACGGGCTGGTCATGCTGGCTGTACAATTCTGGAAACTGTAGTCCCAAATACAAATTCCTCACCGCCAAATAGCTCCCATCTTCTGTGTTAAGCCCATGAACCTGGTTGATTTCAAGACTTTACATGTTTTTGTTATGATAAATCTAACACTGTCCTAAACCAAGTGCATTTACAAAGTGGGAATCAAACTGATGAGTTCAGTCATTCATATCTAGCTAGGTTTGGCCATCCATAACTGTCATTAAGTTACATCATTGTTACGTTTCACAGAACTACCTCTTGCTTTGTTTGGTTCAAGCATTTCATTGCAGGATCTCTCCGGTTATCCAGAACAAATGGATCCTTCCAGCGATCGTAATTGGTTTCCACCAAATACCAAATGCCTCTTTTTAAGTCCAAGCTTGAGATAAGAAGAAAAACATAAAATTATTTTCTACCATAGATGCACCGCCCTGAATTTTATTCCTCAGCTACTCCTAAATTCACCAAATTCAAGTTGCTTAAGGTGGAATGCCCTAATAGTACAGAATATTACAAACATACTCTTATGATTACAAACAGAAACTGTTGTAAACTGTAATGCAAAAATAGGTGATATCTCTAGAGACCACGAAAATAATTATCATACATGAGCTTTCACTGGATTAAAACACCACTTCATCAGGTTTCTACCAGTGTGAAGAGCTTCAAAAGTTCATGGCAAGGATTTTGCCAGGAAAGTTGCTCTTAGATATAAAGTCCAAAGGTTCTTGGCAAGAACTTGTGTTGTTCTTCCCTTGACAGAGAATCCATAAAAACAAAAAAACACCCAAGCAACCCTTATGGAGATATTAAAATCACTAATTATACATTTGCAAGCATCAGCTTGTTCAGCAAGTTTAAAAACCTCGTTAAAACACATTTGCTTAAGTAGCTTCATTATCAAGCATGCTTACTTCCAAATGTCTAAGGCAGTCGTCCGAGAACGTGTAATAATGCATCCCTCTCCTGATTTGTTTCCTGCCAGGATGAAATAAGCTGGAGCCAGCAGTTTTGTGTTTGTCAGTTTCTCCTTTGCATCTTCATAACTAAATGCAACAGAAACAATGAGATGGACATACTAATCAGATATGACATACTTGTTCGGAAGCTGGCAGTCCAGAGCTTTTCAAAATTCAGACACCTCTGGGAGGGCATCACAGGGAATAGGGAATAGGAATGACCGCATGAATGGAGAATCCTTTACAGTGGTGCCCCACATAACGGGCACCCCATTTAACGACGAATCCACATAGCGATGAGGTTTTTGCGATCGCAAAAGCGATCACATTGCGATGTTTTAAATGGTAGAACTTACCATTTTACATTCCAAGAAAATGAAATGTCCCCCAAAAAGTAACATTTAATGATTTAGTGGCAACTGACTTTTAAGACGCAAAAAGAAATATAAAAAGAGCATAAAAACAAATGCAGGAACTAAAAATTTCAAGACAAAAAGTCTGAAGCTAAATTAAAATGGGAGAAAAATATATATTCATGCACACTGTAAAAAGGCTGCAGCCATCTTCGCAGGTTTGGCTTGCTCCAGCGCCCCCCTACCGCCCCCCTTCTGCTCCAGTGCCCCCACACCGCCCCTTTTCGTTCTACCGCCCCTCGAAAAATGAAATCGCCCCCTGGGGGGGCATTATTGCCCACATTAAGAACCACTGTTTTAATGCATTCCTATGGGCTTTTTTGTTCTGCATAGCGACGAATCCACATAGCGATGATTTTTCTGGAACGGGTTGTCGTCACTATGCGGGGCACCACTGTAAAGGAGTGAGGCTCATTTCATAGCTCCAACAAAGCTCAAGGTAGACAAGCAGAAGCAAATGGATGCAGGTAGTATTTTAAGGAAGGGTAACAATTCTTTAAGGTCTTCTGTAAAGTTAGGCAAAAGAAAGCACAGGAGATATATGCAGCTGCTTCTCAGGTTATGTAAGTGAGTATCAAGTTCATTTAATGCCATGGAGGACAACTCATGGTCCTCCAGCTGTTGTTCAACTACATCTGTCAATCTTCATCATTGGTTCTGTTAACCCTCTCCCTTTCTCCAGTCCCAACAACAGCTGGAGAGCTTCAAGTCACCTAACTGTGTTTTACATCTTGACACCAGCACTTTATTACAAGATAAACTCAAGACCAAGAGCCGTCACTGCAGATCAAAGCCCATCCCAGCTTACAGTGAGTGCAAAGAAGATCTCGGGTACAACAGGTAGTGGACGGAAATTTCTCTCCATGAGCAGCAAGTCACATCTACCAGTGGTTACCGTATCTCAAGACTTCTTCAAGTCAAAGCCAGAAGCCTCTGTGTGCTGAGATGAGATGTGGAAGGGTAAGGTATGAACCACACAACAGCCCTACAGGTGAAGCTAGACATAATATGTCAGCATGTATTGTTTTGCTCCAAATATTAGAGAAGGAATCAATAAAATTCAAAGACTATCAGAAGTTGAGTGATTCTTTTCACAACAATGCACAATCTAGGATTTTGTGTGTGTGTGACTCACTGCCTGGAACCAAGAGGTCTACCCTTCAGATAGCCAAGAACCACACACTAGCATTTTTCAAAATATGACAAATACGATGAGATTAAAACTATTTGCAGCATCAATGGTCAGACAGGTTGTTTGATGAATCACTTTAAAACTTGACATCTACCTTGTACTGTTTTCCAATAGATTTCTAGTGAGGAAACTCATCCACCAACCATCTCTTTGGCCAAGGATCCACTCAAAGAGTCCTGTAAGAACCACACAGTTGGAAGAGCTGTAATCCTGAACAACTGTTTTAGTGTTCTCACTGCAAACCAAGCAGACCTGTAGAGAACTGCACTGCAAGCTTCTCATACCATAACCATAATTCAGTTTACAAGTCTGACTTACTTCCAAGATAATATTTGGTCAGATAGTCCTACTGTGCTCCACTATCCTTTTTCTTAAGGTTACATGTACTTTTCAATAAATGCATACACATACAATGTAAAGTTTTATCTTCTTGTTTTCTCTTTTGTACGATTTTTTAAAATCACCATATATTTTATATGTATTGCTGTGTGACATCTGCAGGATTTTAATGTTTTAACCTGTACCCAGAGTAGAATGGGCACTAGTGGGATGCTACATAAATCAAACAAGCAAACAGTTGTATTTGCTACTAGTTTCATTTTATGCTATCTTGTGCTGTAGCTACTTTTGGTGACTTGGGGCTGTAATTATGATAAAACTACCCTGTTCTATGTCTTCCTAAATTATGTGCACAAGAACAGAACAGTAAGCACACTCACCAATGTAACCTCCATCAACACTGAACCGCTCGTTCATGGTTAGAGTAAAAATGCCCTAAAACATAAATTCAGTCAACACCTGAGTTCAGCATAGTGATGCCTAACAGCCAAAAAAACAGACTAAATTAAGGTGAATATCTAGAACCTTGAATAGTTTCTTACAGGCAGTAATGCTATTGCTACCAATTGTGTTTTATTGATATATGTAGGCTCCCATGTTTAAACTGTGAATGAGTAAATGCAGATCAGCCTGGATAGAAAGAACATTCCACTCTTAGGGATGATGAATCCTTAAGGCTCCAGCTTGTTAGAAGCTAGTCTGAGACTGGTTAATACACCTTGTAGTCTGAAATGTCCCAAATATTGGGAAAATCAGAATGTGGGAAATTTGTTTTGTAAATTTTATCCTCAGAATCAGAACTTGGAAAATTTATATGGACTGAAAGTTGCTGAATCTTCCACTGGCAGTACAGCAAATCGAAGTCAAAATCCTAATAAAAAGCATGCTTTTTGGGGGATGCATGCAGTCTCATGCCACACTAATTACTGGCAAAGTCTGAAATCAGGACATTTTCATACCAATTTAAAAACAGAGTGTGGAAAGAGACTGGACTGAGGAATTTCTTTTGCATCTTCTGCCTTGTGTCTGAGGAAAAGAAAAGTTCCACTGGTAGTAAGGGATCCTTGCAGAAAACACATCACATTTCCTAGTAAATAAACTTTCTAGGTGAAGATACACTTCTTGTGTCTGATGAAATGGACTATATAGTTCACCAGACCTCATAAATATACATGTTCCTTCCTATGGTGGTGGAAGACTCTGCATTTTGCTTTTCCAATTTCATTAAGAAAAGACTACAAGCCCATTTTTCATGTCAGTTACAATAATTGGGAAACTATATCCAAAGAGACAGCCGTGTTAATCTGTTGCAACAAAAACCAAGTTTTGTCCCACATGAGAGATTAACTCATTTATGTTGGCATCAAGATTTTATGAACTATGCCCCACAATAAAGTTTCTGCAGCTTATGAATAAATGCAGCCAAAGGGAAGGGAAGTTTGGAGGCAAACTGTGCTTGAGCCAACCATACGTTGCCACATTTGGAGACACTGATAAGTTCTGAGTTGCTTCTAACTAGAATGAGTGACCAAAAAAAAATTGCGCAATCAACAGATCACTGCAATATTAAAATAGGATTAATACACCAACTTAATACGCTAACAATATCATACCATAAGCATTTATCAATAAATATACTATGAAGTAAAATAATACCGATATTTATGCATAAAATTAAAATATAAAGTATGGTAATTGATTATTTACACCAATTTAACTGGGGACCTCAAATAAGTACAGTAATAAAACTTTAAAATCTATAACATATAACATTTGACTTATGATCCCCGGAATTGTAGAATTAGAAGTTTTTGATCTTCTCCGTTTGCTCCCAGAGGAGACTTCTGCCTCTGCTTGTAACAGCAAACCGTGATTTGCAATTACATCAGAATCCACCTAATACTCTGCAGGAAGTAAAAAAAAAACTTACTGGTTTGACACCAGATATCATTCCCACATAACCAGCAAGATTCGAAGACTTAAACACCGTTTTATTGTTCCTCTGAAAATCCAAGGACACCATTAATGGCCTCAGTAATTCTGTGGTAGACCAGGTACTATTTTTTACATCCCACCTGCAGGAAGAAAATTTTGAATATAAGTGACATTTGTGTACTGAGTGTTAGTTGTCAGACGAAGCTACTCTACAGCTACAGAATGGACTCATCTCCTGAGGTTAGAACCTTTTGTCCTTGACACTGGCACACGGAAAAATCTGTAAACATTTCTTAACACAAACCCTGCTGCCAGTTCTGCTGGGGCTTGTATAAATCATGAATATAATTTACTTTAAGCAATAATGGGTATCTAAAAGCAGTTATACAGAGGGCTGCAGCCCAGTTCTCAAATGGCTTAATGTCTCCACAGCTGAGTGAAGACCTGAATCTTGCCCATCCTGGTGTAACTCCCACATGCTGGCTTTCCATATCACGGCCAACAGATTCACAATAATTAGGAACTCCTGGCTTCAGCTAAAATGGCGTCTGAGGAGACATTCAGATATTCCACCCACAAGAGCATACTTATGCCTCCTTCTCTTCCCCCACCACACCCCAGTTAAGATTTTAAAAATACAGCAGTCCATCTTCAGGCCCAGACTCTCAACCCAGGGATCTGTGGCACCATGTCATCCTGTTCTTTCAGAGGAGATCAGGAAGCAAATTTTGTACCCAGCATGATATATATGCTGTCAGCTGAAATGGACGGAAATATCAGGGGCCACTGGTATCTAGCTGGTTGTTGGCAGCACCTTTATTAAAAATGTGGGATGTTTCACCTTCCTTTTTAAGGTCAGAACTGAATGTTCATTTCCAGTTTTAAACATTTCTGGAAGAAAAGCAAAATTTTGCTAAAGCAAAAGGTGTGCCTTACTTTAGGGGGCAACTATGGTTCTCAGAGGCTCTCAGGAATGTGATGCTCCTGTTTTAAACACTTTAACAATTAAACTTAAGAGCACATCTAATTACTCAAAGGCCCATGCTACTGCTTAGCTTTTTGAAATTGGAAAGAATAAAAGAGGGTATATGACCAAGCTACTGTATTTTTACATACCCAAGAAACAGTCCAAAATCAAGATTTCTGGCGTGATACAGCTTGCCTGGTTTGAAAGGGGGGAAAAAAGAATGGAGTTAAATGGATCAACAATTATTTAGATATCATCATAATCAGAATGCACAGTATCAGTTAAGCTGTATTACCTGAGCTATCTTCTGCTACTATTGAGGTGCACACTGTGAAGATTTCATAAAAGATATTGAACACAACGATGTCACCTAAGGGCAATGGGTGGGTCAAGGAGAAGAGGAAGGAAAGAAAATGGCCAGTAAATTAACGATAAAACAAACAGTGTGTAAAGAGAAGGAAAAGAGTCATTGCACTTCATGCACATGGCACTGGACAGCAACGCACAAAGTGAGAGACACTGGCTGCACAAACACCTAAACATCATAATTGTTGGAAGTGAAGAAATACTTTGGCCACAATCTGTTGCATATTGAGTCCTGGGGCTTGGCATGCAACAGATAATGCCAACAAAGATTTCTTAACTTATGGAAATTCATGTCTAAAATTTACACCATTTGGCTGAAATCCTGTTGTGCAGTAACATAAAGAACTGCATCTTCTAAAAGTAGCCAGATATGCTAGCAAGATACAAAAGTTACATGGCTCATCCTCCTTCAGGAAAGCACCAAAAGCTATCAGAGTTGTCATTTCAGATATGAGTGGAAAGAGGACAGTAGACTGCAAAGAGTATAATGAACATGTTAGCCCATGTTACTTTCTCTCCTGTACTTCAGCTTCTGAATTAATATGGTGTGGCAGAATTCCCACGTCAATCCTGTCTATCATAGCTAAAGCTCAAGTGCAGGAGCCTATGAGAAGACAGGAGGGGCAGAGTCAAAGGGACAGTTAGACAGAGGGAGGCAGTTAGAGAGGGGTTAATGGAGAGTTAGAGAAGAGAATTGGAGAGTTGAAGAGAGAGAATTGGAAAGTTGGAGAGTTAAAGAGAATGAGAATGAGATGAATGGAATAGTAAAGCTAAATAGATAGAGGATATTAATTACTTGGTTAATGTGAATAAATAAATACACCACTTGAATGAGCATACGTGTGACCAAATATAAGAAGTTTAATGAGTGATCCTAAACAATAATAAAAGAACATCTATGATTCAAAAACCAAAAGATAAATAAACATGTTATATTGGCAGCACGTTTCTGATGCATATATGGTGCAGTGTGGAAGAGAGATACACTGGTGGTAGCGGAAGAAAGAGTAAATGTATCCAAAGAGTGAATGGTGTTTGGGGGAAACAGAGAACACTGGGTGGAACGTCACATATGGTAATGAAACAGATTTGTCTTCCTGAATTACTCAGTACAACAGCAGTCCCCAATCTGATTACTGGGCTATAGAGTCCTACCAAGGGATCCTCATGATAGAAACAATGATCTAACATGTTTGAAGAGTGCCAGGTTAGGAAAAGCTACCATATGGGCCGTGGATAACCTGAGGCTTCATTTCTTTAAAATCCAACAATCAGGTGACAGGATCAAGGAGATCCAGCGTATAGATCAAGGAACTATGGTGCCCTCAAGTGTTTTGTTCACCACACTGGCAAGAGAATGGACAGATGGAGACCTGCTTCTACTTTTATGGCACCAAACTTCACACCATGGAAGTTAACACCTGATCTGGACTGAGATATGGCCTTCTGATGCAACCTCTACTACATGCTTCGACCATTCTTAGGCACTGAACCTCTAAGTAAGGAGCAGAACCTCCGCATGTACGGTAGAGTAGCAAAGATATGAGCAAATACTTTTGGCTGCCTAAATAAACTTCAAAGCTAGACACTGTAATAAAAAAACAAAAACAAAAAACAAATGTTACCTAAAGGAGCATTAATAGCAGACGCAATGCCTTTGATCTCTTCATTGAAAGGATAGGGAAGGGTGGACCCAATCCAAGCCTAAGCAGAAAACAAAAACAATTAGTCATTATCCAAAAATCACAGGATATTTATATTTGGAATTTATTCTTTTGTTTTCTTTATTTTTGACTGTCTCACTCCATGTAAAAATGATGATAACTTTCAGAATTTTTAGGACTATTTGCATATTGCACAAAGACAAACTCTGCTTTGCCACAGAGTCTGCATTAATAAGAGGTTTAGACAAAAACAGCTCCTCAGTGCATGCAAATGTTGAAGTACATGCATCCCCTGTGTTTACATGGCACATACCTAAAACATACAGTGCATCCCACAGGAAGTAGCCTTCAGATACATTTGCAAAATTCTGAGATCTTTGTGTATAATTTGTAAGAGATATTCAAATAGCCGCTTGAATAGCCGCTGAAAAAGTACTCAGTCTATATTTTCAAACAATCTATGAAGACAAAGACTAAGGCCCATAGAATTTTTGGTGTGGCTAATATGTAGTTGCAGCTGGAATTGTAGAGTGCCAACTTTCTCCCCACTCTCAGGAAGGAGCCTCATGGCACAGTGGTTAAGCTGTAGTACTGCGGTCAACACTCTGCTCATGAGCTAAGTTTGATCTCGATGGGCTGACAGGTAGCTGGATCATAGTTGGCTGAGCCTTCCATCCTTCCTAGGTCAGTAAATTGAGTATCTAGCTTGTTAGGAACTCAGCTCCCTTGTGTGTGTGTGTGTGGGAGCAATGTGTAGCCTGAATACAGTGGTGCCTCGCATAGCGATCGCTCCGTATAGCGATGAAATCACTTTGTGATGGAATTTTCGCTTTGCGATGATCGCAGGGAAGCGATCATCGCAAAGCCTTCATTTGAGGCCAGCTGATCGGCGGTTTCAAAATGGCCGCTGGGTAACCAAAATGGCCACCTGCTGTGTTTCCTCGCTTAAGAGGCACCGAAAATGGCCGCCCCTATGGCGGATCTTCACTTAAAGGTGAGTTTTTAGCCCATAGGAACGCATTAATCACGTTTTAATGCTTTTCTATGGGCTTTTTATTTTCGCTTAGCGATGTCATCGCTTAGCAGCGATTTTTCTGCACGGATTAACATCGCTAAGTGAGGCACCACTGTAATTAAATGTAAACTGCCTGCAGAATGCTTTAAGTGCTATGTAACAGTATGCAAACAGCACACTTTGCTTTTCTGCTTTGCTTTCTTTACATTAACTGTAACATCTGGGTTCATGCAGTATATTGTTAGAAGCAGGGATAGCAGAAAGCAAGGAAACATGGGGGTTTCAACTCATGTCTATGAAGACATAGCTAGCCAGAGAAGGGTCCTTTCTGTTTCTAAGTTTCTTGTCAATATTGCCTAGATTTGTCATCCTTATCTCAAAAGAAGGAGCTTAGTACAACAATTCTGTGTTACATCATCATCCTTTGACCCAGCCAGCAAATGAAGACCAATGCAAACAGAGAACTGAAAGAGACAAAAAGAGAACAGACGTCTGGAAGCGAGTCCCTTCGAAATGCCTGTCCCTCCAACTGGCAGTCTCTGGGGACACTGAGTTTGCAGGCCTTCTGCCTCTCTCCCCTTGCCCTCTTCTTCACTGGCTCTCCACTTTCTTCTCCCTCCAATGGAGGCCTCAAGCCAATTGCTACGTTTGCCCCTCAATCTGGCACACACCAGGGTGAATAGCAGGAGAAGTAAAGAGGTAAAGGTGACACCAGGGGAACAAGAATAAGGGAGAGCTTAGAGAGGACAACATCAGGCACTCTAAAGGCTGCCAACAACACTGGACAAATTAATTACATCTTGTGACCCAGAAGGCATCTGGATCTCTGAAGTTCTGAGGTACAATGTGATATTATTTCAGATTGGTCAGTTTCTAGAAATTGGTTTTACAGATTTTGAAGATTGGATTCTTACTAAAAATATGCATATTAGTATCAACTGAGAATATCAAGAATATATTTAACAACAACACTACTGCTACTGTTGCTGCTGCTACTACTACTAATAATGCCTCCTTAATAAGAATCTATTTAAGGGGGGGTAATTCAATATCTCCAGATTCTTTCCCAAGTAGGCAGTTGTTCACAGTCTTTAGCTCTACAGCTCTTACCACTCTTTAGTACTGCACTCCTCTTTATAGACTGCTACTCAGCTCTTCAATACATATTTCCTGGTTAATTTACATCAAATTGTAAGTAAAGCCAGCTGCACACATTCACAGAATAATAGTGGAACTGCTTGCGGGAGGTTTCCTCCACACATCCAAACTCAAATTAAAAATAAATGAAGTCATTAACCCGGCCCTGACTCACTCACAAGTAATTTCTGCTGAAATAAATGGATGCCAGAAAGCTTAAACAAGAGATATTAGAAGACAAGTATATCACATCTGAATTTGTCAAAATGAACAGAGATTTGGAGGGGGGTGTGCGATAAGCACACTAAGTAATGTGCATAGAGATAGGCAACCCAGAACTTTTTTTGTTTTGGACAACAACTCATTATTGGACACACCGACTGGGACAGACGGGATTACTAGCCCAACATTTAGAAGATGCCAGGTTGTCTAAGCAGATTGGCAAGCTTCAAAAGTATGCGCCCATCAAGGTGCTTATCACAAGAGATGCCCATAAGCATTGCTCCTGGATTCATCCAAAAACCCCTTCCTTCTGCTTTTCCTAAAGAGGGAATGGCCACAGCACACCATCTGCACGTAAAAGGGAAGATTCCAGCCTGAAACCACTGAAAGCCATCCCCAGTGGGTGTAGATCAGCTCCATCATTGAAGCAGATACCCAGCAAAAGTTTTGGACAACTCTCATCCTTCCTGACCACTGGCCACACTGGCTGAGGCCAATGGTGATCGATTCCCAATGCATCTAGAAGGCATGTGGATTGGGGAGGCTGGTATAAAACATACTGAGCTAGAGAACGCAGTGACTTGATCAGCAGAAGGCAGCTTCTCATTTATTCTAATTAACAAATGGAATACTGACATGTCAAGTACACTACCGACTTGTTTTCAAAGCCCAATTATACATCCAAAATGAGATCTTTGGGAAGGCATCTATCATCATGACTTCTATCTGAATGTATCCATTACATGCAGTAAAAAGTGTGCTAATTCTCCTGTTTTTCTTATTACCAGTTATTAGAAGGCTAGATGCAGATAGGGATTCAGTAAACAGTAAACCTCTCTCTCACCTCTTTTTGTAAATGATCGGTATTGGAAATATACTCACGAATTTAGATTCTAGTGCTGCTATGAATTTTTCAGTGGGGGCAAATGAAGCCAACATTTTTTTCAAGGTTTGCAGTACACCCGTTAGCTAGACAAGCATAAAAGAAAATTGAAAGTTCAGATTAACAGTTCAGAATATAATTGAAATCCAGAACCACATAACCAGAAACATACAAGCCTCTCACTTGTGATTAAAAATAGTTGTTGCCTTGTGAATGCATCTAAGGAACGGGTTTTTCAAGTGGCAATCGGGATCTCTTTGAAACAACATCTGAAACTGAGTAGTGAGTCAGAACTTCTGGGTAGGTACTTCCAGCATCTCTTATTATCATCTTAAACCCTGATAAGGCCTCCTTCAGAGCTCTAGTTATTTTCACAAATTCCCATCACTGCGAAACAGGTGGAACAATAGGGCTAGTCAGAACAGGAAGACTGAAGGCTTGTCCCTTGTAAGATTTCACATGATAAAAACAAAGGGTATAGCTGTATCCCACAACGCATGGGCACAACTCTAGCCAGGGGCCATGAAAGCTGGAGGTGATGAGAGCTGTTGGTCAATGCACAGCTGGGGGATATTTTATTAGGAAAGACTGTTCTCTCCTCCACCTTTCTTTCTTCATGCCTTACATACTGTATTGTTAGCTAACAAAGTAGTAGCCATAAACAATCTGATCTCTCTTTGTTTTACTAAATCATTTAAAATAATGCTTCTGCTTATTGCAACAAGGTGGAGGCTGGTGTCAATAATAAGACTATGCTGACACAAATTAATTACTTCCTAATTTTAAAGTACTGCCTCCATGAAAGATATGACAGAAGGAGAAACTCAAGATCCTAACTCTGGCAGGTTCCATACCTCTGTTTGTTTGTCATGTGCTAATTGGGTCCATCTCTCACTGGGTGGCAAGTCAAGATTGATGATGTAGGTTGGAATCTTTCCTTTAAATCTGAAAATTGACCAATTTCCACGACATTCATAAAGACATTGCAACATATAAATCATTCTCTTCTCTATCTGCTTTTTTACGTACTCAGTTTTCCAGGCTATTTATCATATTGTTCTTATGCAATCTGGCTTTCCCTTGTCAATAGGTAATATTAGTGTATCTTAGTTATATTTATTACAGTGGTACCTCGAATTATGAACGTCCTTACTTATGAACATTTTGACTTACGAACAGCTCCGATCGCAACTTTTTGCTTCGACTTGCAAATGGAGCTTCCACTTACGAACAGAAACAGGTAGGGGGAAAAGGCAGGCAATTCTACTTTCTAACTGTAGGTGGTGCTGAGGCTGCTTCTTTGTGCTGTAGCTCCTTTATAGGCTGTGTCACAGTTGGAGGCTTGGGAGAGCCTCCTGCTTCGGAGTGAGCCTGTGTGTGTGTGTCTACAAGGAGGTCAGCTGCTGTTTTCTCCTTTAAAAAACTGTTCTGAGTGGGTTTTGGTGGCTCTGCTTCTCTGTGT